ATTTTTTACAATGGTTTAACGGTTAGATAATTCTTAAGTTAATAAAATGACTTGTAGGATAAAACTTTCCTTGAATATTTTATTTATTTCACCAAAGAATCTGTAATCCAGGTTCCATTCTGTTTTTTATTACTTTATTATTATGTTGTTAGTAGTAGTTTTTGTTTTGTGACTTAAAAGTAGTATGTCTGGTATACTTTTACAGCATGATTCTCTCATCTAGTTGTTCTAGTTGATCATTGCTAAATCTATATTATGTGTGCTGATCTCTTTGTTAAGAAATTGTAACTTATATTTTATTATTTCTTTTGAATATCTCATTTCATTTTCAGTGCATTTGTCAGAGAAAAAAGGCATCAGCCTAAAAATTGTCACAAAGAATAGGGTATTATAAGTCCTACAATCATAAGTCCGAAGAAGAAGTACATAGTAAAAAACTTATAGAGATCATTGCATGGTTAAAACCATCAAATAGAGAACAAGCAGAAAGTGAGCGGAATACTGGTATAGATGTTAACAATGTCACATGTCATTATATGACTTTCTGATTGAAGCTCTCAGAATTTTTCTTAGGAAATCCTAGTCATCTTTTTTTCTTCAGAAAAATACAGAGCTTCAATAAATTATTCCTCATAATTTAGCAAAAATAATAATTATTTTTACATCTAATTACATATCAAAAAATTATGCTTAATAGAACTACAGTCGTGGCTAAAAAATTGCAATTACCCTGATAGCATTATAGAAAAAACATTTCATAACATGAAATTGCAAGGACCAGCACCAACAATGAAATCTAAAGAAATATTTCTTTTAGTGACAACCTTTTAGAGCAATTTTAATTGTCTACCTTATGTTACTGAAGCAAACCTTTTACTTAAAGTTTCTTCTAATGAAAGAGTTGAAATTTTTTTTATAATAATCATCCAGTATTGGCATTAAAACAACCTCCTAATCTACTTAAAAAACTTAACTTTTCAAATATTGAAATAACCAACAAGAAAGTTGGATTATTTAAATGCAAAGAATCTTGGTGCAAAACTTTACCATTAAGAAGTAGATGAGTTTGAAAAATCTAATGTTATTATATGGAAAGTAAGAAGTCTTATCACTTTATTATCTTATATGTTTATCATGTAATAAATAAACCACATTTACTGGTAAAAATAATAGTATAAGATTAGGTATAAATGGACATATTTCTACTTGCAAAACCGGCCTATCCACTAATAGATTTGACAACCATGCTTATACCTGTCAATGCGGTCATAATAGTATTTTTGAACCTTTTTTGCAACTTTTTGTCTTCCTTGAACTAAACAATAAGAGTTTTTTATTATCATATGAAAAGTATTAACATAATCTAAAGCATTTACTTAATCAAAAGCATGATACATTTAATTGATGTTTCCTTTGTCAAAATAGAGCTTTAACAACTTCAACAGATTTTTAATGTCTGAGTGAGTCTTATTCGTTGGTATTTTTTTAAACTATTAGCTAGAATATTGAAAATCACCATAAGTCTGATGAAATATATAGTTCAAGATCTAGTGGTCAGTAATCAGCTTTGATTCTATGTATTTTTACATCTTATTTGATCTCCCTTTGAACTGATTAAAAAACTTTAATTATTTCTATGTAGTGATGGCTGTCAGAAGATCCTAATGCCAGCAGCATGGTTAATGGCTCTAAATATGGTTTTACGATTAATTTAATACCACCTTTGCAACAGGCTCATAATCAGTGTGATGGGACATCTGCCAATAGTCTTGTTGACCTTAAAAGTTTAAATTAACGGATAAATTGTCAAAGAACAAAAAAAAAAATTTTAACAAATTTTGAATGGATATGAATTAGGCCTCACTGCTACTGTGTTTAAAAACTGCATATTTTTTAGTTTCTGAACAAATTTTAAATTTTTAATTTGTTAACAAATATAAAAATAATAAAAATGGGTTACTTTTTAGCGGTAGCAGGGTGATTAAGATGATCTCAAACTTGACTTGACCTGGATTCTTCCTAATCATACAAATTATAGCTTTTACTTTACAGATCTCTATATAGCTTTTCCATTTTAAATTGTTTGAGAAATATAGACCTAAATTTCTTTCTTATTTATGATTGCACATTTGTCTACATTGAAATCCAGTAGCCATTTTTTTGATCATTCAAATACATTCTTTTCCTGTTATCCTGTAATTGACTTTCATGTTGAAAAACACTTTTAGTTTTTACTTGTAGTTTTCTGTAGCTTATACATGCTTTGATCCTTTTTAACAGTTTTCCTGATCTTCTGTAAGCTGCTAGTTTGATTGGTAACCTTGTGTTTGACACTTTATCAATAGCTTTTGGAAAATCTAAATAAATATTGGGTTACCATTTGCTAAAGCTTTTGAGATAAAATCTAGTTTTTCTATCAAATTTATAGTGAAAGATTTTTCTCTGATTTTGTTCTCTAATTTTCAATTTTTTCCTCTAATTTTTATTTTATAATGATAAAGTAAAAGTTTTTACTGAGAACATATCTATGATCATTTCAAAATGTCACATTTATCAAATAACTTTTTTTTACTTCTTGATAATTCTTCAGCAATCTGTCCATTAACTTCAGTATTTTTTTTTAATTTTGCTAATTAAACATTATTAAGTTAATAATTAAGTTTACAATTTGGCCTTTCTATAAAACATTAACCAAATTTTGTTTCAAATCTTTTAATATAAATTTGCTTTAATGTTTCCTTAAAACTTTTTTTTTATATATTTATTTTGTCTGGTACTGTGATACTTCAAACCAATTAAGAAGCTCCATAAGTTTCCAAAACACATTTTCTGTCAACTCGACAAATATCTTACACAAACTAATTATCTTTAAATGTGTTGAAAAAAAATTCTTTATTGTTTACTGTTATTTGCTTTTTAATAATGTAATATCAATTTTAAAAAATTTATTAAAATTTTATTCATTTTTAGAACTTTTTTTATGTTACCATAATTTTATTTATAGATAGCAGCATGCAACCTATTGTTGTTCTTCCTTCAGGTATATATATATATATTTTGTTTTGTTATATTTATATCTAGACTGAGCAATGAAAGCTCACAGAAAAATATGAAACTTTTTTATTGAAATTTTTTTTATATAAAGTAGGATAAGTATTAAAAACAAAGAAAAACAAAGATGTTCAGAATTAACAAAGATTTATTTTAAGGAATAAAACCTTATACGCAAATTTAAGTGGACAGTAATTTTATCATTAAAGTATGCCTAAAACAAACAGAATACATAAGCAACATATATTAAAAAGTAACTATAAACCTTCATTAAATACAAAAGTTTAACTTACATCAAAACAAATATATATATATATATATATATATATATATATATATATATATATATATATATATATATATATATATATAAATATATATAAGCATAGATAAACCAATATTTAAAATAAACAAACATAAAGTGATAGAAGGTATAAGATATGGAAAAATATTGTTGCAAGTTTGTACAACACTAATATTTTAAATGAAATAATATGAAAAAATTCAATATCAAATAACATAACAAAATGAAAAATAGTTCAATTAAAATATTAAATATTATTAAACAAAAACAAAAATAAAAATAAGAATTTACCATATCACTTGTAGAAAATTAGATGAAATAAATAAATAGGGAATGTTTTGTAGTATCTTTGCTGCACTTTGCACAATATTCTTACTCAAAATGCCATATAATTTGGCAGCACTTTAGTAAGTCCTTTTAATTATTTTAACAAAATTCTGTCTTTATGTTCAGTGGTTATCTTTAGTCTGCCTGAACGATGCTTGTTTTCAAGAGTATCAAGGTCTCTATATGTCTTAACTAGTATGTTAATTGTTAATTTAGCCACATCATATAACTCAGAAAGTTACTTGTAAAGAATCTTCTTCTCCACAACACAATTCCTTTTGTTTTTCCATTTTTTTTTAAATTAAATTCAACTTAAAAATTATCTTCACTAAATATATTAGTATATGTATTTTTTTAAGTTTTTTAAATGAAATTTTGATTTTTTTTATGGTGCTGTTTATGAACTTATTATGTTATCAATAAAATTTCTTCTGTCTTTTACAAGTTTTCTTTTTTTTTGCTTTGTAATATAAGTTAGAGGAACAATTGCTAAAACTTTCATTCATTTTCAGTGAAAAGTCAAAAAGTTATGAAGAAAAATTCAAAAAATTTATCTATTTATAAACTTTTTCAAGCTACTGTATGTAGAGAATAGTTGAGAGAAATTCAGAATAGTCATTAATTTTTTTTTATTATTACTCACAAAAGTTTATTTTGCACAATATTTATTATTACAATTCTTTGATTTTTAAATCTTTATAAGATTATTAAATTTATTTTTATTTTGCATTTTGTTTTATTTGGTTTTTCTTTTGCATTTTGTTTTATTTGGTTTTTATTTTGCATTTTGTTTTATTTGGTTTTTATTTTGCATTTTGTTTTTGTATAGATTATATACTCAACAGTAAAGAGTTTGCCATTATTCATGATTCATTGTTTGGAACTCTCAAAGTTTTAAAGAAAGTATACACTGTGTCTTTCAATATAAAACCTACTAATTACTCTAGGGGTTTAAAAAGTGTTCTTCACATAACTTTGGGTAATAATAACATAGTTTATGGTGACAGAAATCCTGGTGTTTGGTTTCATGAAGATGGTTCTGGTAAACTTGTCATTTTTGCTGCAGTAAATGGAAGTACAACGTTCTACATTGAAACACCTCCTCTAAAGTTAGGTGAATGGTCTTATATTACAATATGTCAAAGTTATCTAGAAAGTAAATATTGGTTTTCTGTTTTTTTGAATGGAATCAATATAATTAGAACAGAAAATTCTGATGCTAGAGATTTTAAGAATATGAAAGTGTATGCGTCAGATTGTTGGTATGATGCTCAAGATGGTTACATCACTGACCTACTAGTCATTAATGGACATGCTGGTAATAAATTTTTTTTTTTATTAAAAGCTGTTTATATAATTGAATTTAATATAAATAAGTTATTAATTTTTTGTTTTATAAAGTATGTATACAAGTATACATGGATATATATATATATATATATATATATATATATATATATATATATATATATATATATATATATATATATATATATATATATATACAAGCCATTGGCTAGCCTATATAACAAAATTGCCACAAACAAATATCTTATAAAGCAACTCTGAACGTTTTGTAGATGGTCTCAATTTCTGCTTAGTGTGTGTGTGTGTGTCTGTGTGTGTGTGTGTGTGTGTGTATATGAAAACACACACACACACTCACAAACACATACACACACATCATTGGAACATTGTTGCTACTTTTTGTGGAAGAGAAGAGTTTTTACCAAGTATGTAAGCTAAAATATCGTCTACATATTCTTGCGTGTGAAAAAGACAAATTATTCCAGGAGCATTTTCTTTTATTACTCCTGACAAATATATTTCTTGTGTCTATTTGCTGTCGGAAGGTAGTCATTTATGCTTTGTACATAGGTTAAAGATCTAATATATGACCCATATTTTATTGTTGGTAAAAATAGAAAATTATTGTAAATCTAGGATGATATAAATTTTTCTAGTAGTAAAGTCACAATTAATACTTATCTGCAAAACAGATTAATGCTAGAAAATGTATCTGTTTGTAAATAATTGGTATCATTATTCATAATGTCATTTCCGAAAGTATTTTTTTTAACTAATTAAAGAAAATTAAGTATAAACAAAGCAAAAGAGCGTTTTTAACTTGTTTTTATTTTGTCACTATCATTTTTTAAATTTATTTTGTATGCTATCATTTCAAAAAAAGCAATGAATTAAAAACAAATTTCTGAAAAAATGTAACAAATTTATTTTGGTTATTGTTGTTTGGAAACAAAGTTCTTTATGCCATTTGTTATGCAGAAACTCATGCATTTACATTTGCTATGCAAAAATCACATGCAATGTATTTGTTAAAAAATGTAATATGAAAATGTAAACAATAAAAATTATAAATGTATTTATTTAAAAAAAGTAAGATTTTATTATTAAACTAAAGAACCGAAAAGTGCAAGGTTTTTACAAAAGTACAATATTTATAGTTAAATATATAATAGTTAAGAAACAATGTTTTTAAAATTTTAAATAATTTTTTTTATTTTTTATAAAAATTAAATCAATTATTCAGGCTGAAATTTAATTGTTTGAGCAATTTTTAGTTTCCAATTTTCAAATAATTTAATTGATCAGTAATTATTTGTAATTTTTGTGTAAATCTTTGGCACATTAATACATTTAATAAATGAAAATGTCACATTTAAAATGTGACATTTATTAAGAACAACAAGATTTTAAGGGTGTTTACCACCACGACTGCAAATTGTTTGGTGTTTGCCTTAATCAGCTGAAATTTTGGTAAAATTCATACCAAATTGCATGAAGTGTTATAGTTGATATTTACATCCAGATTTTGTTTTTGAAGTTTATTGGTGTAACTTGAAGAAGACAGAAATACTGTCCTGTTATGTAATATTCTCATTCTCAATCTTGCATACTATTCAGTTGAAACAGATGGTTTTGATTTGCATATACCAAATAACCCCTAGCTGTTTCAATGACATCTGCCAATGTTCTGCTATATCCCATATTATTAAAACTGAAAAGTACTGAAACTAGAATAATTCAAATACTTAGCATCAGGGCTTTGGAGCCGAGGTCCAAAAACTGGCTCCGGCTCCAGGCTCTGGCTCCATTAGATTATTTGGCTCCTGCTCCGGCTCCAGCTCCGGAGCGGCTCCAAAAAGAAAAAAAATTAAAATTTTTTTTAAAGATTTTATGACAGTAACTTAAGTACTATTAACATTTTGTTAATCAAAATCTTGATTCATCCTTAAAAATATCAGGTTTACACTTGCTTTTGAGATAGAGGTATACAAGTGACAACTCTGCATGCTTCATGTATTTTTTTAGGGTATTCTTCAATTCACTTAAAAACTGAATTCACTTTTAAATCTTCCATTTTTGTTATTAACCTAGATTTATCTCATATTTCAGGGCGTAGAAAGAATATACCAATAAATCATACCAATAGCTAGCTGCAAAGTGTGAATAACACAGCGCATCAGCTTAATGTCAGTAGACAATTGTTGACACAATTCTGGGTTGATAAAGGCTAGGTTTTCTTCCTGAGCTTCTTTACTTTCTTCTTCATTTGTATCCTGTTATAAAAATTCCACTTTTTTTTATCATGCAAAGCTCTATCTCAAAAAAATTTTCACTATCTTAATATTTGTTTAAAATTGTGATTGCTCTAATCATATTGGCTGCATTGTCTACACTTGCACATACTACTTGATCATTGCTGATACCAAATCTATATGGAGTATCTTCCACCGTTTTTTTTGATAGCAACAAGATTGCGCTGTCCTTGTGTATCTATCAGTGCCAAAATTTTTAATTTTTTTTTTGCATAATAATATTGAATATTTATTTCCAAATAGTTATTTTGGTGTCGAGTGGCTGCATCTATTTTAACATAAATAAATTTCTGTAACAATACCTCTTTTATTTCAGCTTTCTTTTTTTTCAACAAATTTATTTATCAAATTGCATACAGAATTGTGTCCGGTTCTGAATCCAAGAGTTTTACCTATTTGGCCTGTAACCAACTGAAATCCTTCAACTAGAAATTTTTTCAACAAAACTCTGTTTTATTTAAGTTTTTTATTTAAGTTTTAGCACTAACTTGATTTATTGTTCAACTACTAGTAATAACAAAAGAATCTAAAGTAATCTGTTTAGTTTTTTTAGTATTGAAATCTTGATGAAATAATTTTGAAAATTTTCTTTAGACTATAAGTCTCATTTCAAATTCAGCAATTTTATATTCTGATAGATGTTATTTTTCCAAATGCTGTTTCATGTTGTAAACTTTTGATTTTTTTATTTGAATGGCCCATGAAATCACTTTATCATTTAACTTTTCTGTAATTTTACATGTAACCTGTTTTGTACTTTTATCAATTGTAAAATACTTATCTAGTTTGAAGCTATTTTTATAAAAACTATGATAATAAAGTAAATGTGGCCATCTCGGGCCTAGAGGAGTGACCATATCAGCCTTGAGGAGGTGAATAACAAAAAAAAAAAAAAAAAAAAAAAAAAAAAAAAAAAAAAAAAAAAAAAAAGAAAAATGACAAATTTTAAAGAAAAACGAAATAATAAAAAAGATAGTATAAACAAAAATAGTATCAATAATATCAAAAAAAAAAAAAATCTTTTCCTAATTTTATTTGGAACTTACATGTTTATATCTATTTAAAAAATGTTTTAACTAATTAAAAACATTAAAAGTAATCATGTGATTTTTTCGCTAAAGATTGTTCATAAAGTACGTACATAAAGGATCATACAAGTTTGAATACAAAACTAATACCAAACTGAATCTGAAACTAAAACTAATACCAAACTGAATACTAAAACTATAAAATGCTCGAATGGGGGAGAGCATTAGTAAGTAGACACTAATTTTAAAAAAATATCATAAAATGTTGAGTAGGTAGGTTAAAATGGTAGGTACTTTTAGGTAAAAAAAGTACCTACTCTTTTAATTTCAAAAAAGTGTAAAGCAAAATACAGAATGTTGGAAGGGAGATAAAAAAAAAGTTTACGTACTTTATGGATGATCCCATAACCAATCATTGATATTGCTTAGAAGTATTGTTTTAAAGTCACTTATCATACTCTACAATATGAACCACATGAAATATTATACAAAATAATTGAATTAAAAATAAGTTCTCAAAAAAAAAAATTTTTTTTTTGAAACTTTGCAACCACCAAAGTTTTATAAACTCTATGAAAAAATGCATTGTTTAGAAATTATAATTATTTAATGAGGGTAATTGTTTAAATTCTTTAAAAAAATCTCATTATATAAAATTTCAATTTTATGGAAATTTGATATTTCAAATTATCAAAAGGGTGGAGCTGGCTCAAAGTTGGCTCCAAAGCCAGCTCCGGCAGGAAATACTTTAGTTCCAACTCCAACTCAGCTACATGTAAAATCACCAGCTCCAGATAGCTCCGGAGCTGCTCCAAAGCCCTGCTTAGCATAGTTGCTGCACCCCTACTTTGGTGGTTGCAAAGTTTCAAAAAAATTGAAATTTTGAAATTCTGTTCACAAGGATCATCTTACTTTGTTTAATGTTGAAGAATTAAATCAAATCTGTTATTGGTACCAGCTTTGGTACAGCATTTAGGTTGATTCTACTGGCACAATAACAAATCCAATGCTCAAGGTTTGATATATCATTTTTAGACCATATATCCTTGTACACATCCTGCTTAAGCATTGCACAAAAATCCTCTATGGCACAAGCAAATTTGCTGAAATTACTTTTTTTTTCTAAAAGTATTTTTTTTTAATTAAAAGAAATTATTAAGTATAAATAAAGCTAAAAGGCGTTTTTAACTTGTTTTTATTTTGTCACTATCATTTTTTGAATTTATTTTGTATATTATCATTTCAGAAAAAAAAAGCTTCTGGCTTTATGTTTGGTAACATCTCACTAAGTTAATTTGTTACCAAATTAGCTTAGCGAGATGTTACCAAACCTCAAGACATACTTGGTATCTCAATAATATTTATTGGAAAAAAGTTGCAAGCGCTTTTGTAAACAGTCTTTCAAATAGATCTCTTGGTTTATTGCTTGGCCAAAAGTAACAACGTAAATGTAGGTGACTACTAGTGTGGAGATGCTATTCATACGAGTAATTTTTTTTAATTTTGCATTGTCATAATACTTAACAATGTCTGGTTCTGGTCTTTTGAATAGTATGTATTATTACCAGTGTGCTATTCAACAAAGTTAAGTAATACTTATCCTCAATAACAATTTGATCACAGTATTTAGAATAAAGTCGACCACATTTTCAGTGACCACAAAGCCTCTG